CCCCTCATTCCCCCCCCTCTTGGTGTTGTCTCCATTCACACACTGATGTATGCTGGGGGTATCTGGTTGCTGCAGCTTGCTGTATTTTTGCACCTCCCCTCCTCTGGTGGCGTCGCCTGGTCTGTGTACCGTGTGTGCGCGCCGCCTGTGCCGTGCGCAGATTGTCAGCCTCGCCTCCAGTGCAGGAGTCCCCCCGATTGGATAACGCTCATTGATTGGCTGCGGCTCAGTACACAGCATCTTCATCCCTTTCCCCCGGGAGAGCCGGTGGAGGAGGGGGGAGGGGATGTCATCGCTCGGAGTCTGCTGCAGGAGCCAGCGCAGCGACGGGCTACGGCATTGCTCTTATGGCACCAGCTGAATGACAAACCCTGAGCTGGGCCCGCGGACCCCCCTCGTTAGACCTGCGGCACCCTTGATCCCGGCCTGCCACCATGCCAGCGCAGAGCCATGAGTCCCAGATGCATGCTGCTCTTTGTGTTTGGCTTTGTTGGCGGGGCGGTGGTCATTAATTCTGCCATCCTGGTGTCTCTGTCTGTCCTGCTGCTGGTTCATTTCTCCTTCTCCACCGGCCTGCCGACCCTGACCGAGAGCTTCCCCCGGATCCTCAGGTACCCGGCTCGTTAACCCTGCGCCTGCCAGCCTGTGCCTCGGCCTAGCTGCCCTCACTGTGCGTCTGTGTCACCCTGCCGAGCGGATCGCTGATTTTTTTTGTTTTTGATGATTTGCACCTTTTATGCCGCTGTGGCCCTGCAGTTGTCCAGCCTGGCCCTTTTTAAGGGCCGGAATCCGAAGTTTCACGGCACCTGCGTTGAAATGCGACCGGTCGTACGTTGCGGGATCTGCCAGGAGATCTGCGATGTCGGCTGACCTCGAGCTGATTGCGGAGCGCCGGATACTGCTGCATCCTTCACTGGTGACGCCGCGTCTCTGCGCAGAGCCTCCTTCGGGGACGACTGATGCTCGGCACAGCTAAAGCCGATCGGCGCCGTCTCTCCTCCGCGCTCGCAGTCCGTCGCTCCGTCTCAGCGATTTCTGCTTATTTTACTGAGATTGGTCGTTTTATTGGCTGGAGCGGCGAATGGGGAATTGCTGCGTCCGCCCCAAATCCTGGCCATGTGCGGCCCTCGGGGGGGGGCCAGAGCTGGACCGGTCTGATGTGTGATATGACGCAGACTTGGCAGTTGTGATATTTTGTCTCCTGCGTTTTGCTACATTTATAATCTTGTTGTTACTTTGTTTCCAGGTTGTGTTTTATAGGCGACGTTCTGTCTTCTCGTCGTCTGTTTATATGTCGGCCTGATGGGGAGGAGGGGGGGGGCTGTGTGCGCAGATTGGTAAGACTTTGTGTGTAGTTGTTTTTTTATTTTGAATTTCCTCCCTCACCCCAAAGCAGAGGTGGGCCACTTCAGCCCTCCAGCTGTCGTGGAACTACAAGTCCCATGAGGCATTGCATGACTCTTGTCAGCCGCAGGCATGACTCCCAGAGGCAGATGTGTGATGGATTCGTAGTTGCACTACAGCTGGAGGGATGAGACTGCCCACCCCTGCCCCAAAGGATGATTGGCCCCACTGTTGTATGTGTGCGCACGGTGCCGGGACTTCAGATTCGAAGCTGCAACATTGTATCCAAACAGGTTCCTATTTCATTGTTTCTTCTTTTGTTTTTGTACATAGTGTGTGTGTGTGTGTGTGTGTGTGTGTGTTAGTGAGTGTGTGTGTGTGTTAGTGAGTGTGTGTGTTAGTGTGTGTGTTAGTGAGTGTGTGTGTGAGTGTGTGTGTGTGTGTGTATGTGTGTGTGTGTTAGTGAGTGTATGTGTGTGTGTGTTAGTGAGTGTATGTGTGTGTGTGTTAGTGAGTGTATGTGTGTGTGTGTTAGTGAGTGTATGTGTGTGTGTGTTAGTGAGTGTATGTGTGTGTGTGTTAGTGAGTGTATGTGTGTGTGTGTTAGTGAGTGTATGTGTGTGTGTGTTAGTGAGTGTATGTGTGTGTGTGTTAGTGAGTGTATGTGTGTGTGTGTTAGTGAGTGTATGTGTGTGTGTGTTAGTGAGTGTATGTGTGTGTGTGTTAGTGAGTGTATGTGTGTGTGTGTTAGTGAGTGTATGTGTGTGTGTGTTAGTGAGTGTATGTGTGTGTGTGTTAGTGAGTGTATGTGTGTGTGTGTTAGTGAGTGTATGTGTGTGTGTGTTAGTGAGTGTATGTGTGTGTGTGTTAGTGAGTGTATGTGTGTGTGTGTTAGTGAGTGTATGTGTGTGTGTGTTAGTGAGTGTATGTGTGTGTGTGTTAGTGAGTGTATGTGTGTGTGTGTTAGTGAGTGTATGTGTGTGTGTGTTAGTGAGTGTATGTGTGTGTGTGTTAGTGAGTGTATGTGTGTGTGTGTTAGTGAGTGTATGTGTGTGTGTGTTAGTGAGTGTATGTGTGTGTGTGTTAGTGAGTGTATGTGTGTGTGTGTTAGTGAGTGTGTGTCATTCCGGACCCTATACATTGACATATTGGAGTAGAAACAACCCGAGGACCTGACCGCAGTGGAAGCGCCATTTTAACATCCGTTTCGCCGTCTTCCACATTTTAACTTTTTATGCGATTGCAACTCTGAGATGGGAAACGACGACAATTTGGTCAGTTTTTGTATAAATTGCGTGGATGTGATTTTGTAGACAGGCGGAAGGAGCGGCGAATGTACTCTCGGCACACAATTAGCCGATCTTCTTGTGGCCGCCACTTAACGAAGTCGCTTTTTATTAGTAAGGACGAGCCGCTGCCATCGCTGTTTGTGTGACCTCAATTCTCGGCGTGTTCCCCCCCTCCCCTCCCCCGGAGCGGTGGCGTTGCGAGTCTCTTCTGGAAGCTCTCCATTGTCCCCGGGGGCCGGCACAGCTTTCTGTGGAGCTCCGGGCTGATTTTCAGGGGGGTTTTTGTTGCCGTTTTCGGGATATTCGCCTCGTTCGGGGTTTTAGGAGCTTGACCTTCGCTCTGCTCGTGAAATCCACTTTCCAGAAAGTTCTGATCCTGTTACAAGGGAAAAGCCGCTTTCCTGTGAAGTTGCCGCGCACCGGGCACTGCGGGGAGAACGGCTAAGGAGCTTAAAGGGCCAGTCCACCTATAGCACGGCGTCCTCTTAAGGGAACGGGTTTGCGGGGTTACTCGTAGGTGGCGGTCGCTGTTCATAGAAAATCTGTAACTTTGTTTTAAAGGAGAAGTACGAGGTCGGGGCTTTCCCCCATAGTTCTCCTCAGGGTCAGGGGGGGGACACAAACTAGCGTCCTCCCGTCACCCTAGGCTCAGTATATAGGGAGCTACAGCTCACGGCATACTGAGACGCTGAAGCGGATCCCGACAATTGTGCCGGGATCCGCCCAGCTGCGTGAGTGACAGCTGGCTCCTCCTATCTAGAGGCAGAGCCAGCTGTACCCGCCCTGTCCGTTCCACCAGTCAGCGCTGGCGGATCGATGTCACAGGTCGGCTAGAACTATGAGGTGAGTGGAAAGCCCCTCCCCCTCATAGTTCTCCTTTTAAAAGATATTCCGCGTTGGCGGCCATTTTAGGCTCATTCTAGGCAGCTGGCTGTATCGGTGCGCAGCCCCCCCCCCTCACTTCTGACACCTTGGACCTTTTTTCATCGCATAGGAACCTGTTTTCGGTCTATCAATCCCTTGAAGTGGATTTTTGGCATCTTTTTAGATGTTTTCTGACATATATGAAATGAGATCTGTCTGTGTTCCCCCAGCGGCAGCCAATCAGATTCTAGTTCCTATTGTCTGGGGTTACATTGCGATGTTGTCGCCGTCGTCCTTCCTAATGTCTCATGGAGGTGATTGGAGGCTGCACAGGAAGTACAGTGCCTGGGCCAGTCGTCGGCGGGGTACTTGTTACCCGTGATCACCATTGCTCTGTACGCGGCGGCGTCTAGACGCATCTCGCTACGGCTCGGGACACGGCATGGATCGCGATTTCCCCCCCGTCGCACCTCCCGCCATCACAGACCCCTCTAAATACCAGGTGACTGATGGCGTTGGAGCTTACCGGGAGCGATGACGTCTTCCTGCTCCCCCTGGTCATGTGACTGCGATCGGGCCTGGCAGTCAACCACTGGGCCGGAGCGATGCATCATGGGAGGTGGTCACATGTCCCGCCCCCCTCCCGTACCTGGACGCATGCGGTATTTTGCCGTGCCGAGGGAGTTGCTTTGATGAGTATAACTGGCTCCTCGTGGGGTTTATAAAGAGAACCTGTCACTGTGTCCTGAATGAGGAAGTTGCCCGGTGACTAAGTATTAAGGAGGCCTCTGGGAAGTCCTTGACTTGTATTTGTGGGTCCTCGGGGAGCGGGGATTGTGCGTCCTCAGGGTGCAGGGATTGTGCGTCCTCGGGGAGCGGGGATTGTGCGCCATCAGCGTTATAATGTACACGCTGTATCCATGCACGAGGCCGGATGTTTCTCGGGGACATAAGGGAATGATTTAGACTAAATTTTTGTTGTGTTGTTCTGTGTTTAAGACTTCTGCCTTGCAGCACCGGGGCCCTCGGTTCGAATCTTGGACAGGACACTATCTGCATGGAGTTTGCTTGTTCTCCGTGTGGGTTCTGCTCTAAATTGGCCCTATATTGGCATTCTGCTGAGCGCTTCCAAAATGGCTGCCGCGCCTCTTACCCGACCCAGCACCCATTTGATAAGCTATAGAAATGTCTATTAATAAGATGATCAATACCTGTGTGTGTAACGCTTTTCTGTATCCTCCAATCAGGAAGGAGCGCCCCATCTCTCTGGGTATCTTTCCGCTGTCTACCGGAGACTCTCTGGTGTTACCGGACTCCCGCGGTGCAGAGAACCCCGGCAATGGGCCCTGGAAGGTGCCGGAACAGAACCACGCGCGCTGCAACACCAGCTTAAAGGTACAGAACACTTGGTGTATGTTTGGCGTACGCTTCCAGGCGTCTGGTTTCCTGTACGCACCAGTGAAGGGGGGCAGGGGGGGGCAGGGTGCCAAACTCCAATTGTTTTTCAGCTTTAAGGTTTCCCTTCACTTTCCAGAACTTCTTTTTTTTTGCAACCAAGGCAGCGGTATTGTGAGAATGCTCCTCCCTCTGCTCCTGTGATTGGTTTGCAGCCTCTCTCTCTCGGATTTGTGGAATGCTCCTCCCTCCGCTCCTGTGATTGGCTCGCAGCCTCTCTCTCTGCTTTGTGGAATGCTCCTCCCTCCGCTCCTGTGATTGGCTCGCAGCCTCTCTCTCTCTCTC